GAGTATAATGGACCAGGCGAGAAAATAACAAAAATAATGAACAACCATATACCAGAGACATTTTGTGGGGGTGGAGTGGGGAATGGGATCAAAAATATGTGTGTGTGTGTGTGGAAGGGAGGAAATGCTCGGGACTATGGTGGTGGCACACAGGTGATTTGGTGATGGGAAACCCACGGGGATTACAATCGAGATGGAAAAAAATAGTGCAAAATGATGTAAAAATAAACTTTTGTAATAATTAAAAAAAAAAAAACACAAAACACTTTCCCTCACATTCTCTTTTTAAAAATAAGAAGAGACATTAACTTGCACATCATTATAGAGCTAAACATAGCAAAGACAATACTACAATCTCAATCTTCTACTTACTGGTCGTATTACTATTGCACACTGTCCTTCTAAAGCACCTCATGAAACTCCTTCAGCTACTGCACTAAAACTTGCTCAAACAATTAAGAACTTATTATGATAAATCAAAATACATCTATTTTTATTTCTTCATGTCACTATGTGTATATGACACCAGCCAGCAAGGAAAGATGAAATGTTCAGTGTTTTGTTTTAAAAAATGAAGCTAAATAAAACACTTGAACTTAATTTTATTTAAATGACCTACGAGTAAAAATTAAGTATTTAATAGGATCAAATCCTCACTTCTTCAGTATACCAAGGTTTTGGGGTATTGAGGAGTTTTTGTTTTGTTTTAAAGAGAAAGTTAAATGGAGGGTATATTTGAAATGTTTTCCACTTTCACACTGGTCTAGAAATAATGTAAAGAAACCACTGTACAGCTGGCGTGTTAAGTAGCAGGAGTAAAGGTCTTTCTTGTTGTCTGAAAGTGAACAAACATGGCCAGCTATGGCATCTGCTTCTTCTATCACCCAATCACACAGCATAGTTTTTAAAACGTGGCCATTATCTCCTTAACAGCAGGTCCACAAAAATTCAAAAAAAATTTTTTTGGTACACATTTTGTACCATGGTGTTTCCCCTATGTGTTTAGGCTTTGATTCAAACTATCATTTGTTTGTTTTGTACTTCTTCGATTTTAAAATCCAGGTTTAAAAACACACTCAACTTTCAAGGCTTGTCAGGTACTACGTGCTGTGATGCAACAGTGAACAAAGTGGGTAAGATCTATTCTCATGAAAAGACAGTAAAGAAGAAATGAGTCAGGCTCTCAAAGGGGATGACTAAAGGTCACACCCATAAGGAATTTCACCAAGTACTGTAAGTAGAGCTGTAGGCTACTGTCAAATCTGCAAAACAAGAGGTTACTTTAATAGTGGTGAAAAAGTTTCTCTTGCTCGTTATTTTAGGCATTCCTTCTTGTCCTCCAAATTTGCCACATAAATGACAACCTCTCCTTAATTCTGCTCCACCGAATAGCTGGCTTAAGGAGCACACCTTGACAGTGGGCCAAGAAGCAACCAAATCAGGGAGAAATCAAAGCGCAAAAGCCTGGGTGAAACTGCTCACCAAGAGCATGGGGCTCTGGAAAGTACACACCGTCCTGCTGGCTTAAAGACATCGTGCATCCTTTCAAACGAAAGGCCAAGGCACCTCTGGGAGGCCAAGGCTTTGCTCCTTGCAGCTAGTATCTGCGGAGTTGTCTGGAGCCCCGATTCTTAACTCCAGGACACCATCCCAAATCGGTTGCTTGGGTGAATTGAATCTCCAGGTTCTGGTGTCCACCAGGAAGGAATTCCTAACTTCTTTCACGCCCTGTCCTTTCCCTCTGAAACACTTAACACGCAGTTGGAAACGACAAACTTGTGACTTTTTCTGAGTGGCAACTGTTCCTCCCTCAGGCTAGTTCACCGCTGTGTCTATCAGCGTTTGGTCCAGTGCTTGGCGCAGAAACTGTGGTGACGAAATACAACTACATGAAAGAACAGGGAGAGATGGAAAGGAAGAAGGGAGTCTTCTTCTTAACGGCCTAAAAGAAAAGGGGGTGCATTACACCCCGGCCCTTTTCCATTCTGAGGCCAAACAGAGGAAGCTTAGATGGGACAAAAGGGGGGGGGGGATGCCTGGTGCCAAGGTCACGGGATGCTGAGAGCAACGACCAGCCCAAATGTCAGAGTCGCGGGCACCTTCCTTGGGGTAAATGGCAGCCGTCCCCGCCCGGCCAAGCCCGGTTGGCCCAGAGGGCCCACGACAGGTGTGTCCCGCCACCCCCCAGGGCAGCTAGTCAAGGGCACTCGCGCCCCGGGCGTCGCAGCCAATGAGCGCGAGGCAGCTTCGCCGCCGCAGCCAATGGGCGCCAGACCCGCGGGACGCCGCAGCCCGCGTGCTCTCCCCGCGTCCCCCCGCCCCCACCGCGCACAACCTACGTGACCCCCCACGTAGGAAAGACAGTCCGGATGCCCCGGAGGGCCACACTTCCTAACCTAGAAAAACGCGCTGGCCCGCTCTCCCGCCGGCCTGAGGCCAGGGGACGGGGGAGGGATGTAGGACCGCGGGGGTGGCGGGGGGAGGGATGTAGGACCGCGGGGGTGGGGGGGCAGGTAGCGTGTGGCGAAGACGCCTAACCCCAGTGAACCCTCGCCCCGTGAAGCCCCGTGAAGCGCGTGTGCACGCGCCTTGCGTGTGTGTGTGTGTGTGTGTGTGTGTGTGTGTGGAGTGTAGGTGTCCCGGGACACCCGCAGCTCGGCGGGGCAGGCCCGTCGTCCCGGTGCTATCTCCATCTCCCGGGTTACCTGGCTCTGGCAGAAGCCACGGCGGCGAGGCCTGGGTGGAAGGCGGAGGCGACCCCAGACAGGACGCGACCCGAGTGCAGCAGGGCCATGGTGGGCGGCGAGAGGGCAGTGGGTAGCTGCAGGACGGAGCGGAGGGCCGGCGGGCGCAGACACGGAGCCGCGGGTTCCTGCTGAAGGTAAGGACAGCGACTCGCCGGTCCCGGC